TCTATGGCCAAAATAACCTTATGTTGAAGGAAACTAAGTCAGACTATGATGAGGAAAGCCAACAAATAATAAGACAATTTGAAAAGAAACAAAGATACCAGACATCAATGAAAATGAAATTAGTAATTCTTTTTACTTACTTATTTTTAGAGGTTTTTAGCCTTAGGGGGTGTGCACTTGCCAGAGGTGGGGGGGAGAAGAAGAGAGACAGAGAAAGTGAAATGGAAAGTGACAAATCACCACCCCATGGGATGACCACGCTGCAATCCCTTCTCCTCTGTTCTCCTGGGATCTTGGGCAAGCACGCACACATGTCCAGCATGAGTTTCAAGCTACCAGGTCTGGAAACCACAGACGGCAGTGTTGGAGTCCAGCAACATGATTGCCACACACAATTTTCTGTTGTCTTGTAATCAGTAATTCATTTAAAAAAAGAAAGAAAGAAAACAGAAATTTTGAAAAAATAATAGTCTTAAGTGATTCATTTCCAAGGATAGCTTAACATAAGTTGCTTAACCAGCCTGCAAACATGACAACCCAAGAAAGTACACATTCTTGAAATTTCCTAGAACAAACGTAGCCCCCAAACAAGTAGCCCTTGAGAAATGACTTCTCAAGATGGCGTCTGGTCACTAACCCTTTGTTTTTTGCTACTTCCTGGTTCTTAGCCCCTCTCAGGACCTTTGGCAGGCCTTTTTTGTGGGCATGTCCTCAGCCTGTGTTTTTTTTTTTTTTTAATTTAAATTTATTTATTTACGTTCATTGACTGTACATCATTACAGCATACAAACAGATTTTCCATCCAGTGTACATTGTATATTGTCTCAATCAAGCACATCAACATATATGTTATTGTCAGTAAATAACTTTAAGAAATATGTCAAAGATGTCAGAAACTCAATATAATATTTGATTAAAACAAGATCATAAGTCACTGAGTATGATATTTAACTAAGCTAATAATTAAAATGTGAAAAAGAAAAATTAAAAAAAAGGATGACAGAAACAGGGAGAGACAGAGACAGAGACACAGAAGTAGAGATAGAAGGCTGGGGGTGGGGGGGAGGCTCCCTACCGATAGCTTGTTTGCTTGAGGCTAAATTATCAGTAGAAAATCATCATTTCTTGTGTGCCCTGAAATACCTAGTTTGCAGGAGCCATGTGGAATCATCTTCTGAAGACCAGGCCTCTCCTGCTTGGGTGCAAGGACCGGAGCGATAATTAAAAAGATAAAGGGTGGAGCTGAGAGCAAGAGAAAAACATTGCCTTTTAAAAAATGTAAAAAGGAAAAATTACAAAATAAGAGGAAGACAGAAGCAGTGAGAGACAGAGATAGAGGCACAAAAACAGAGATAGAAGGCTGAGGGGGGCTCCCTACCACTAGCTTGTTGGCTGGAGACTGAGTTATCAGTAGAAAATCTTCATTTCTCATGTGCCCTGAAATACCTAGTTCACAGGAGCCATGCAGAATCATCTTCTGAAGGCCAGGCCTCTTCTTCCTGGGTGAAAGGACCATAGTGATAATTATCAAGGTAAAAGGTGGAGCTGAGAGCAAGAGGAAAACTTTGCCTTTAAAAAAAAATGGAAAAAATATTACAAAAAAAAGGAAGATAGAAGCAGGGAAATACAGAGACAGAGACACAGAAAGAGAGATAGAAGGCTGGGGGTGGGGGAGGCTCCCTACCACTAGCTTATTTGCTGGAGGTGGAATTAACAGTAGAAAAATCTTCATTTCTTGTGTGTCCTGAAATACCTAGTTCACAGGAGCCATGCGGAATCATCTTCTGAAGGCCAGGCTTTTCCTGCCTGGTGGGAGGACCAGAGCAATAATTAAGATAAAAAGTGGAGCTGAGGGCAAGAGAAAAACTTTGCCTTTCAAAAAAGGTAAAAAGGAAAAATTACAAAAAAAGGAAGACAGAAGCAGGGAGAAACAGAGACAGAGACACAGAAAGAGAGATAGAAGTCTTGGGGTGGTGGGAGGTTCCCTACAGCTAGCTTGTTTGCTGGAAGCTGAATTATTAGTAGAAAATCTTCATTTCTTGTGTGCCCTGAAAAACCTAGTTCGCAGAAGCCATGCAGAATTGTCTTCTGAAGGCCAGGCCTCTCCTGCCTTGGTGGGAGGAACTGAATGATAATTAACAAGATAAAAGGTGGAGCTGAGAACAAGAGAAAAACTTTGCCTTTCAAAAAAGGTAAAAAGAAAAATTACATAAAAAGGAAGACAGAAGCAGGGAGATACAGAGAAAGTGAAACAGAAACAGAGATAGAAGCCTGTGGGGGGTGGGGGGCTCCCTACCGCTAGCTTGTTTGCTGCAGGCTGAGTTAGCAGTAGAAAATCTTCATTTCTCATGTGCCCTGAAATACCTACCTTCAAGGAGCCATGTGGAATCGTCTTCTGAAGGTCAGGCCTCTCCTGCCTTGGTGGGAGGAACTGAACAATAATGAACAAGGTACAAGGTGAAGATGAGAGCAAGAGAAAAACTTTGCCTTTAAAAAACTATAAAAAGAAAAAATAACAAAAAAAGAAAGACAGAATCTGGGAGAGACAGGGACAGAGACACAGAAACAGAGATAAAAGGCAGGAGTGGGGGTGTCCCTACTGCTAACTTGTTCACTGGAGGCTGAATTATCATTAGAAAATCTTCATTTCTCATGTGACCTGAAATACCTCATTCGCAGGACCCATGCAGAATCGTCTTCAGAAGGCCAGGCCTCTCCTGCCTGGGTGGGAAGACCAGAGTGATAATTAACAAGATAAAACATGGAGCTGAGAGCAAGAGAAAAACTTTGCCTTAAAAAAATTGTAAAAAGAAAAAAATACACAAAAAATGGAAGACAGAAGCAGGAACAGACAGAGACAGAGACACAGAAACAGAGATAGAAGTCTGAGGGGGGGGCCCTACCACTACCTTGTTTGCTGGAGGCTGAATTACCAGTATAATACCTTCATTTCTCATGTGACCTGAGATACCTCATTCACAGGAGTCATGCGAAATCGTCTTCTGAAGGCTAGGCCTCTCCCATCTGGATGGGAGGACCAGAGCTAAGAGCAAGAGAAAAACTTTACCTTTAAAAAAATCATAGAAAGGAAAAATTACCAACAAAATGAGAAGACAAAAGCAGAGAGAGACAGAGACACAGAGACAGAGATATAAGGTCAGAGGGGTTCCCTACCACGCTAGCTTGTTTGCTGGAGGCTGAATTATCAGTAGAAAATCTTCATTTCTCTTGCCCCCTGAAATAATTAATTCACAGGAGCCATGGGGAATCTTCTTCTCCAGCCTCTGCTTTAATACCTAATAATGAAGCGAGAGATGTCATGTCAGGGAGATCATATACCCCATAGTACTCAGCTAACAAGGAACTGCGGAAGGGACTTTTACACTAGGGAGTAAATTACTTGTTGTAACTGACTTGGGTGTGCCTGTCCATCAGACACCCAGTCTTTCAAGACTACCATTAAAGTCTCAATTCCCCGTACCTCATGTCTCCATTTCTATTACTTGCCATTAGATAGGTGAGTGTGTTTCTCACATTCCTCATACCATGTGCTTATACATTGGATAATAGTACCTGGGAAAGCAAACCTGATTTGAGTTTGGTAACAATACCAATATACTGACTGATCTTCCAACATGTACCTTTTCTAAATTTATTTTTGGTCTTTAACAGAGAGAATAGCACATGAAGGAAGACAGAAATTGTATCGACAGAAGAGATTACGGTGCCTTCTTAATGTCAGAAACAACTTCTGGAAGGCCAGCAAATGGTGTACCAGTTATGTCACTGAACTCCTACATGGTCCATGGTGGTGTGCATCCCAAACCCAGTGGCTTGAAAATGACACAAGGTGCATGTACATGTATGCTCATGATCCTGGGAGAATAGAGAAGGGATTGCCACATGGCTGTCCCCAATAGTGAGTGATTTCTCACGTTCCTTCTCACTCTATCTCTGTGTCTGTCTCTCTCTCTGACATGTGAATGCACCCTAAGGCAAAAACAACTTTGGTCATTATTATTATTTATTTTTTCCTCAAGGCATTCTCAAATATATATTTCCATTAACTTTTTGTAAGCAGTTAGATTTATCAGCTTCTATAGATGAATTTAAATATCAAATAAAGTAGGAACTGTCAGGGTTCAGAGTAAGATTCAGTAGTCACCATCTCAAGAGACAAAGGAAAGTTTATTGAGAGAAAAAGTACCTGGGGGTCTGAAACCAGAGGTGCTTCAGCCCACCCTACAGAGGAGACATGAGAGGGGTGAAGAGGTAAGTCACAAGAATGGTGACACTTTGATTAGTTTACATGCCACTATGACCTCAGTCCATCTATGGGTGTTGGCTTCCAGTAAGGGAGGGTTCTAGCCAACACCTGCAACCACCATCTCCTTACTTTCTGATGGGGGAATTACCTAAAAGTCATTCCAGGGCTAATATAACATGTCTATCCTTTATCTTTTGTTAAAAAAATAATAAAAAATTAATAAATGAGGCCAGCAGGCAGCGTGGTGGTTGAGGGTGCTGGGCTCCCACATGGCCAACCACGGTTTGAGTACTGGGCCTGGAGGCTTACTTTCTCTCTCTCTGTCTCTCTCTCTCACTCTGTCCCTCCTTGGTCAAATTAAAATAAATAAAGTTAAATAAAATAATTCTTTAAAAAAATAATAAAATAATGTGTGAGGGTGGGACAAGGGACAACGGTCAGTCTTCTCTAGTTGTTTCATGCTGAGAAGTGTTGTTGTCCTGTTGCATGATGGTAGGCAGTTTTGAATACTGTACCCTCTGGGACAGCAAGATGTTTTCAGCTTATTTGGAGGTCAATTGTTGAATGGTGTCTCAGAAAGCAGTTAATATTTTTAGGAGTGGAGGTCCTGCAGAAACTAAGAGAAGAGTAACACTAGGGATGACCAGAGCAACAGTCAAAATGTCACTCATTTTCTAGAAAGAGGCAGAGACTCCACAAAAAATTTGATAATAAACCATTTATACTGCCATGTATCCTTTTTCTAAACCCCACTTTCTTATCATAAATTCAACCCATTGCTGGAACTGATAGATAAAACACTTCGCTTCCAGCTCCTCTTCAGCTCAGCAATACATTCATGTGCCCTTCCACTATAGTGTAAGTTTTTTCTCCTTCCCAAATGGACAACAACCAGCACAGGTATTGGGTCTGATCACCCAGCACTTCCACGTCATAATTGTTGCTGTGACTCAAGTATCTTCCAACTCCCTGGCGAGGTAAGAAAAGTGAACTCTGTCTTCTTTTTCTGGGAATTTGTCATACATAGAAATTGACTCTATCAAGAAAAAAAATACAGGTTATTTGTCGATCACGTAAATACAGTTATACTGCAGTTGCCCTTCTCAGAATCTCAAGAGACAGGCTTGTGAAGAAGAATTCAGTTGGTCCTTTAGTTCTAGCAAAGGTGTTTGGAATGTTGGCTGTTTTGTGAATTGGGTTCTTTTCTGGAATCTTAATTGAAAAGAAATGGAAAGAAACTGCAGGTGCTAGAGACAGGGTAGAAAGAGGGTGGGAAATGGCAGTGAGTGAGAAATAGGGGGAAAATATATACAAGAAACAAGAAATGGAAAATTATTTGTTGACGATAACATGTATGATTAAGCCACTTTATGGTGTATTCTGGCTGGAAAATTGCATTTGTATGCTGTGGTGATGTTCAGTGAAAGTATGTAAAATAAATTCATTAATAAAAAATTTTTTAAAAAGATAAATGTTCATGGGACAACTGATGGTGTATGTCCAAGCCTACTCTCTGGTGTATTCTGAAAGTTCTAAGAATCTGAAGTCTTCCCCTATATTGCATGTAGGTGTCAGAAAAGATTCCTCTCCTTTCTTCCTCCTGGCTTTTTCTCACCCTCTGATAAAGGAGTGTTCCTCCACAGGCCAACAATCGACCTCTGTGACTGAGGACTCTAGACGAGGACCTTTCCATAAAATTGCCATGGCTCTTTTCTATCACTCGGAACACAAAATCTCTCCTGTAGATTTCCAGTTTGTTTCCAATCTGCTCTCAGATGAATGGTCCCAAATTCCCAAACTTTGATGAAGAATTTTACAAATTATAAATTGAACCAAAATGGTTGTGCTTATGCCACAACCCCTTCCACAATAAATCCTGCATGTCATGCTTTAAGAGCTATCAGGGATACATTTGAAACCCATTTTTCATATTCTCTCCACTTTAAATAGCCCATGATACAGCCTAGCATTTTTTAATTTAGATATTAAGTGAGCTCCTCAGAGAAGGGACAAATCGGGAAAGAATAAAATCATTTTTTAAAAAATTAGAATAGCCTATGTAGAACACATTATAATAGGTTATGTTCCTGTCTCTTTGGCAGGAATACAAGAATGAATGGCCATTATATAGATTTTTATATACTCAAGTGGATCTGAGACTTCAGGTGTCAGTCTCAATTAGAATCTATATTCAAACCACAGGTCAGACTCAATTAGAACCTATATACAAACCACAATGAGATACCACTTATCCCCAATCAGAATGGCTAAAATTAAGAAAATAAATAATGATAAGAGCTGGCGAGGCTATGGTGAAAAGGAAACTCTCCTATACTGTTGATGGGAATGTGAATTAGTGCAACCATTTTGGAGAATGATGTGAAGATTCCTTAGACACCTACAAATAGAACTACAATATGACACAGTTACTCCATTTTTAGGTATTTACGCAAAGAATAGAAAAACCCTCAGTCAGAAACACACACTCACACACACACACACATCCTTGTTTATTGCAGCATTATTTACAATCTCTAGGACATGGAATCAACACAAATGTCCAAAAGTAGATGATGGGACTGAAAAAATGTGGCACCTGTACTCTATGGAATTCTACTCAGCCATAAAAATAATGAAACCTTGACATCTGGTACAAAGTGAACCAACCTGGAAGACTTAGTGCTAAACAAACTAAGTCAGACTATGAAAGACAGACTTTGTATGTCCCCGCTCAATATACACCATTATCTGCACTCTATGGCAGAAACTGAAAGTTTGGGCGGTATGGTAGCAGGGAGGGCACCATAGATACTAGAAATAGTAAGGATGGGGTGGGTAATGGAGGGAGGGAGAAAGAAGAGAGGGGAACAGGGGAAGAAAAAACAAAGTATGTTTAATTTTCAAAAAAAGTTAAAAGCTATTTGTTGATTAAGAAGAAGAAGAAGAAGTGGGACCAGCAGTTAGCGTAATGGCTATGTCGCTGGATTCCCATGTAGTCTACCGTGGTTTACGTGCCGGACTCAGTTGTTTAAAACTCATGCCGGGCACTGTGCGTCCGGGCACTGTGCGTCCGTGCCCAAGATCCTGAGAGGAGAATTGAGGAGTAGGGATTGTAGTGCGGTCAACCCATTGGGGGATGATTTCTTGCTTTCTGTCTCTATGTCTCTTTCTGTGTATCTGGTGAGTGCACACGCCCTATAGCAAAAACCACGCAAAAAAAAAAAAAAAAAAAAAAAGAAGTTATATCTAACCAAGGCTTGCAGTCTTTGTGAGGACAACAGTCTCCAGCAAGAGTGACACTGACACTGCAGATGATGTTGCCTAGAGGAGGCACATTGATGGTCATTTTCTTGTGTGGCTCAGCTGCAATTTTGGGGACGATTAAAGCAAAAGTAGGGAGGAGATTAGAAAGTGGCACACACCCTCCTCCCCTCTGACCCTCATGGTCATTCGGGTTTTTATTTCCTATCTTACCATTAGGATGGTGGCCGGCTTAGATAAGACTGGTGGCATATTCGGGTTATTGACACCACCCCTACTTCTCCCAGGCAATAGATTAGCCTGACTACATTTACTGTATCCTGAACAAGAGCCAAATAAAAGGAACACTTTTGGTCTCCCCTTACTTTTACAGATAAGAAATACCCTCTCCACCACCTCCTGCAGTAGACTGACTCCCTTGTATTGTACTCTAAAACATTAAAATTCCTTTGATTTACAAATGTGAAAAAAAAAATAAGATGCTTAATTTTCTGTTATACTCATTCATGGCCACAATACAAGTTGGAAGAGGGAAAGCTTGTCAACCAGAGAAATATTAACTATAATACTATTATGCAATTAGATCTCTTTATAAACACCTGGGGAAATGAGAAAAATTCCATACATACAGTGTCTTTATGTGTTGAGAGATGTGAGTACACTTTATTCCATCTTAACTCACGCTTCTCCTCCACTGACTCAGAGTCTGCCAGGCTCCCTAGGCTCACACGTGATAAGATGTAAGGACTCCCACCCTGCTAGCTCCTTGGAAACTGCTCCTTCTAGTCCTCTATATCGGATTCTCTTATACTCTTCCAGTTGAGGTTGGAAAAAAAAATTTAGTTTGTTTACAAGTTCATAAGCCCTTTTTCTCTTAGTGAGTTTAAACAGATTAAAACTGATTGGGGCGGGGGGGGGGGAAACCAGCAGTTAGCATAATGGCTATGTCACTGGACTCCCACATAGTCGACCGCGGTTCGCGTCCCGGACCCGGTGGCTAAGAACTCACACCGGGCACGTGTACATAAGTGCCCAAGATGCCAAGAAGAGAATGGAGGAGAAGGGATTGTGGCGTGACCACCCCCCCTGGAGGGTGATTTCTCGCTTTCTGTCTCTATGTCTCTCTCTGTCTTTCTGGCGAGTGCACACGCCCTATAGCGACAAAACCTCTCCAAAAAGAAAAATAAATAAATAAACCTGATTTGGGGGACCAGCAGTTGGCGTAATGGCTATGTCGCTGGACTCCCATGTAGTTAACTGTAGTTTGAGTCCCAGACCCAGTGGCCTGAACTCATGCTGGGCATATGTGCATGCATGCGTGCCCAAGATCCAGAGAGGAGAATGGAGGAGAAGGGATTGTGGCATGGCCAATGCCCCTGACAGTTGATTTCTCGCTGTCTCTCTGTTTCTGTCTTTCTGACAGGCTCATACTCCCTATAGCATAAACCTCTCCAAAAAAACTGATTTGGGTAATAGATTTTGTGAAAGTCCAAATAAATATTGATAGCTGGATTTAAGCATGTTTCTTTGGTTTTTGAAAAAATATTAAACAAGAACAATCCAACACATGCAAGTATAGGATTAATATGCATAGTTTTCTCAGTTCTACAGATCCTCTTTGCCAAAAGTTCAGGGTTATTAAAAAACTCTATTTTGTTTCTCACAAAACCTGAGGTGGAAAGTAAACATATAAGGGTTAAGCTCTAAAATGTCTTTAAAAGGAGACAAAAAGTAAAACATATCAAACATTCCAAAAGTATTATGATTTTTTTTTTGGGGGGGAGAGGTTTTTGCTTTAGGGCGTGTGCGCTCGCCAGACAGAGAGAGACAGAGAGACAGAAAGCGAGAAATCACTCCCCTGCGGGGATGGCCACGCCACAATCCCTTCTTCTCCGTTCTCCTCTTGGGATCTTGGGCATGCACGCACACATGCCCGGCATGAGTTTAAGCCACTGGGTCTGGGGCTCAAACCATGGTCGACTATGTGGGAGTCCAGCGACATAGCCATTACGCTAACTGCTGGTCCCAAAATTTTTTGTTGGTGTGATACATATAGGTTATA